TTGTGTGTGGGGAAGTTCTCATAAAATCTACAGACCTTCACCTGGCAGGTGGGTAAAAAACGATCTCATTCACAAAAGCAATAGACTGGAAGCTGGCATGTAATGATTAATGAGAAGTGTCCTACCTTAAATTACACTTCGTTGCCCTGCATGTTGTACACAGTTGGCAGAAAACTAATTACTTGAAACTGGGGCATCGCAACACTGAGAATCAAACATGTAAGTGCAATCAATGCAATCTCTTCCTCTTTTTGCAGATAGGAGTCTTGATCTGTTCTCCGTCAAAATACCATCTCTGATTTGAACCATCTGCGCAGCCTAAGGACGACACTGCAACAACGAAGATCAAACAAACATGCTTGAGTTTCATCTCAGGAGTTCGGAGAGGGCAAGCTTGCGAACCTCAACGGCTCGTTTGTTGGAATCTCCAGTGATGGTTTTGTCACTTCATCCGTGTTTTTAAACATCCTTTCAAAGTCTCCCTGCGGTCACACACACACACACGAAATACCAAGTCAGTGACTGTGCAAATACACATTCTTTGTGCCGTCCAAGTTTTGATCCCAACCTTGGGTCCAAGATAAGAGGAGCGACAATGACAATGGCAAGAGGAAGCATGCGCAATGCATGCAACTGTCCCAATTTCATTCTTTGGGAAGGAGCAGTAAAGATGTATGGTTCGACAATGTGTTTCGTAGTCCCCTAAAGTTACACAAAGCAGCGTGATTCCAATCAGCTTAACCAGTCGCCGGAAAATCTGCTACCACGCCCCAGCTCACCCACTTTCACTAATGTCATTTGATGTCATTTGTATTCATGTGTCATAGATAGGAAATCGAGATATTCACATCCACACGCAAATTTGCAGGCTTACACACATAGACACGCAAACGTGCTGAAACACTGATACAAAATGACATACAACAGTTGCCAAAGCACACAAGCCGTCGTGCATGTTCGAGATCATGGCGTGAGGTAGCGGCGCTGGGATGTCGTGCATACTCCACCTCCTCGTGCCGAAACCAACCAAATCACATCAGGCTTGTGGCAGGACAGAGCAAAGACACTGACATACTGCCAAGGCTGTCTCGAGGCTTGGTACCCAATGCCCAACACCCCAACATTGGCGGGAATGAAGGAATTGAACGCTGCTGAATCTCATTGCAGATCTTACAGATTGTATTGCCGTCCCGTCAAATTTTTGCAAAGGCGAAACCACGTAGTGACGTAGTCAAGGCCACAAGAGACTTGCAGGCTCCGTGACCTTTAAGCCTTTAAGCAAACACCAATTACAAAGATGTTCTGAACAAGAATAAATGCAAGCAACGGACACACTTGCTCAGAACTGTCATTGCGAATTTTGTTGTGGAATGCATCTTACGTGCAACAACAATCCCTTTAACCTGACCAGAGTAGGTCACTGAGAGGACCTGAAAAACAGTGAAAGTAGCCATGGCCATAGCCAGTGCAAACAAGAGTGAATTAGAAGCTGACCCTTCCCCTTTCGAGAAATTTGCAGATTGCGACAACAGTGCAGAAAAGAAGTGAAAAACAAATCGTCTTGCCGGTTCTGGGCTTAGCTGTCTGCCATTCACACGCACTGATTGCAAAATAAAATTGAAAGGAAGCAAACCCTGAACAACAGGTAATCACAACAGTGCAGGTATGCCAAACTGGCCAAGTCTGGTATCACCTTCGATGGTAAGTGTCTTCGTTGGCAGGAGACTTACCATGACGCTCCTGCTCCCTGCGAAGAGTATTTAGAAGTTTTACATCTCTTCAGATGGTTCACACACACACCTTTCACGCAAACACTTCACTTTTTTTGATCTTGTTTCAGCATGTTGGAAGGCTCAACCCATGGCGCAAACTGGACTCTTCTGTAGTGGATCTAAGCTGACAACCTGCTCATCCATACCCGGCCTAGATGGGGAATTGGGACAGTTGCCCATGTACACGTTACCAGTGTGTGGGCTCCAATCCACACATCGGTCATCGTGCCTAGGCCAAACAAGAATGCAGCACTATGAGCCATGGGCACTCTGTGCATTTAACCAACATACTCTTTCCAGAGATCAACGCATTTTGAAACAGCTTGTACGTTTTGGACCGCAACTCTGTGCCGAAACCAAACGTCCAGTGGAGAAAAAGATAAAGATCCGAGAGGTACGTGCACATACACTTTCCATGATAAACAAGCACGTCATTGTGGAAAATGGCAACCTTGATATGCTTTGAACGAACATGTAGTGAAAACTTTAGTGAAAACTTGTGAAATACACCGCAAGGTACGTTTTGCAACCTTTACACGGCTATGTCATCGGTGGTGAATGCAATATCTACCCCTAAGTTGACAGGCTAAACCGAGCTCATTCGGAGATCCATTGCGCTACCAGCTCTTCACTGTCTGCCCTGCTGTGGGCCTGCTCTTCAAGTATTGCCCGTCCCAGTAGTACTTCTGGTTGTTGCCGCTGTGACAGCTGTGCCTCAGATCCAAAATCTTATACCCCAGGTACACGCACTCCATGTGCATATATATTACAGGTACAAATGCTGTGTATTGGGCAAAATAAAAATACATAATATTTAATAATATATATAATATATTATAGTAATTATAGGATTATATAATTACGATTAATTATATACATACACTGCATTGTATTGCATTGGCTTGCGTTGCGTTGCATTGCCTAACCTTACATGATATGTACACAGCACATGAACCATCAAAAACGTATAATTACGTAGCCAATATACGGTATAATTATCCCTAGCATTCCCCAACGCTAAAGATGTTTGGATATTTCGCGGCTGTAAGTATCTGTACGTCTCTCTCCCTCTGTCTGACTCTCTGACTATACACGCATATCATCATATATCAAGAGGATTGAAGAGGCACGCGCTTGGAATATTCAAAGGCTTGTTCCCAGTATAGAAAGAAGCTTCGCAACAGAAGAAGCGCAGCACCCTTGGAACTGCTCCGCATGGCCGAATTTTCTCCTGTCAACCTGTCGGTAAATTTGACAACAAACATCTCTACACCGCTGGCCTTGCAGTTTTACAAGTCCCAACCTCAACAGAGGCTGTGAATAGCGCATACTGTGATGTCCCCGGGCCTTGTGCTGTGAAGGCACAATCTTGCAGGCTATATACTGGTGCGGTGCACCCGCCATTGCTTGCAACGCAACTCTTGATAGTCATGTCAGCAATTGCAGGATGAATCTGGGTCAGCAGTACTCCAGCTGGGTGGAGGCCCGAAGTAGATATGGCGAGACCAGAGATCACCTTGCATGTCGCTGAACCATGGCCTGTTGCACGCCACGCGACAAAATGCTTGTTGAATTTTTGTGCGCGTAAATATGCAGTGGGGTTGGTGTGGCGTGAAACTCTCATGTCTTGCGAACGACCTCTGACCTTGATGCTAACATATTGTACACTACCAACAATCTGGACCTGCAATTGCACAAGACTTTGGCGCTGTGCTACCAACAATCATCTTCACGCTTCTGCACGCTGTGATGCCACCCTACGGATGGACTCGGGGAGGCTGGGGTGTGCCAACGGTCGCTTGCACTTGCACGCGACCGCAATGCTGTGCTGTCAAGGGCATGTAAGCCATGCTTAGACGAAAGTTGGCTGGCCAGAAATCGGGAACGCTTTGACTCAGTTGCGGTTGAAAAGCAAACACCTGCCCACTTTCAGACATTACTTGAAGTCAAAATAGTTACAAAATGTCGTCACTTAAATGTTGACCACCGCACCAACGCAACTGTATGAATAAAGAACACCGAATTCCTAGTCAGCAACTCAATCATGGGCCAAAAAGAGTAACAGCTCTCGCGCGATAGTTTTTTTAAATTGCGTTGCACAAACCTGCAAGCAATTACGCGTGAAGCTCGGAACTAGGGAAACCCTTCAATCATGTTTTTTTTTCTGAAGCACCAACTTTCAGTGACTGACGGGTGGTAACAATTTCAGAGATGAGTTTTCCACCAAGGCACCCGAATTCGCACCTTCTATGAAGTTCCAAAATGTCTAAATTTTGTTCGCAGTCCAGAATTAATTGTTTGTCATTAGATGTCATTAGGCCATTAGATTAATATAGATGAATTATGTTCTATTCCTCCTCTCTACTTTACTTATCGCGAAACATTCAAGCACAAAGACGATATACCAGCACTTTGTGACTGCAGATTGGACATTCAAACCACATGCACATGTGCGGACGTTTCACACTGATTGTCTCATGGTAATGGATATCATCTGCCAGCCGCGAGTGCAGAATGTTTTTGTATGGGTTTGTTCTGCTCTGTACTTGTTCTTTGCGTTTTTGTTTTCTTTTATTGTAATCTATTGTCTATATTGGATTTGTTTCCCTCTTGAGTTTTTCGATTTCTGTGTTTTCATTTTCCCTGTTTCTCCACTCCTCTACTCTCTCCTCTCCTTTCCTCCCCTTGCCTATCCTTCGTGCTCTTTTCCTTTCAGAAGCAAGTTTTGCTGTCTAAACCCAATTCCTGATTGCAAGATTTATGAAACTTTGGAGTTTCCTCCACCACTGCTACTGGCTGCACTACCACCAAGCCTACGCGCGTATAGATTACAGTACTTGCAAAGACTACGCTTTGCTCAACTTTGTTTGCCTGCATGCATTGCCTGGATTGACGCAGAGGCACATACACATTGGATGTCTTTGAGGAAAGAACTTCAAGATGACATGCTATGATAAGAGATGATGCGAGAGCCTTTTTCACCCTGTGTCCTTTTTGGACTCAACGCATTGCCTGGTAGCTCGTGGAACTTACTGACGCTCATCTGGCGCATAAATAGAAGAACAATTGAAAGAATTATTGAAAGTGTCAGCGTTTGTCGGCTATTTCATGCCTACTCTAATGGTGCGCTTCTTGTGCAGCCCAAGGCACATGTACATGTTGCTCACAGTCGGGTGGTAATCCACACATTGTCCACCATCCGATTCTGATTTCAACTCTTCCTCAAATGCCCGTGACTCTGAGAGACTGAAATCTTGGTAGTTACATTTTGGTGCGTAAGAAAAACATAAAGCTGTAGTCGTTGGTTTCACCATAGCTGGCCACAGCATGATTCTGTATATTCAACAGATTTCAAAAGAAGTTTGACCCGAAACTTCTGACTAGCGGACAAATGCTAAGTGAAGAACCTTCCCTCACCAGCTCCACCACTCAGCAAGTCAGTAGCTCACCCTAAGCTGAAATTTTCAGCGCGCGAAAGCGATGGCAGAAATGTGCCCGGAAGATCCCGGAAGTGTACGGAGAGGTTGCTGTTGCCTAAAACGTACCACACCGTAGCCTCGGAGTTTTTGGGAAGGTGATGTCGAAAAAAATCAATGCACAGGACTGCAAGCCCGGGGTTGCGGTTTTCAGAGCGGAAAAGTGAAAGAGGACTTGGGCTGCATAGAGTCTTCGATTTCTTGGCGCGTCTGTGCTGGCGGGCAATGCAATTGGAAATGGCTATACGAACAGCCTGTCACAGCTGTGCCAAGTGCTGCTTGCACTGCTAGTGTGGAAAGCACGGCATGAGTGCCAAACGCATTGTAACGGCTGCATCAAGTGTGCCCTAAGGCAGAAGGGTTGCCTCAGACACGAGCTACCTCAAGAAACATTGCATCCGAGAAAAACTTTGGGAATAGAGTTCAGAGAAGAGCTGGCTCAGAGAAGAGGCTCAGAGAGGAGGTAGCGAGTTGGCTGAGAGAAGGGACAGGCCTCGGAGAAGAGGAGGCTCACTGAGCCACTCCCTCAGTCATTCAGTCAGTCATTCAATCATGCAGCGGCCCATGCAGCCGTCCTTCAACCATTCAGTGAATGTCCTGGCACAACTTTTGGCACTGTGGTCCTGTATACATTGGACTGCAGCATGCTTCCAGGTCAAATCGCCGCTATGTGACAGTGCCAACGCTTCAAGATTCTGTCCGCTTCCGTTCCAGGTTGCAGCTTGAGTTCACTAATCAAATTTTCAGTATTTTCTTTTTTACCATTTTACTTAATATGTACCAGCAACTGTCAATGGGCTTAGGCAATCCAAACACCCTCTGCCACAATATGGCTACTGTACATATCACAGTAGAGACATGGCATGAGCCAGGGCCTACTCAGGTGGGTTGAACAATCGCGGATCAAGCGCGAGCCAATCGCGGATTTCACCGACGTTTTTGAAAATTGAATTGATCTGCCATGCCAGACTTTGAGCTTTGTTGTTCTCATTCTTCTTCGCGATCGGCTATCACTGTTGAACACAGTTTCCAGACAAACCCGAATACAAGTCTGACAACAACATATCATGCCATATGATTAAATTCTCCTCCTACAATCGTGAATTCTCATACGAGTACAACACATGTTTGTCGCAATCGCGAACCAATCGCCGATCAATCGCGATGCAGGGTTTTACCATCGCGGATGTTGGAATATATTATGTACATGCCGCATGCCCTTTCATAATTCTGAGACTTGCATTCCCATAAAAAAAATGCGCGCTGGCCTCACTTGATCTCTTACTGTAACCTGCCAAATATCAAAAAAAATCCAGCACGGACGCCACTTTGGCTTTGGGATTGTCTGTGCAGCTGAAGCACACCTGAAAAATAAAAACGGCTCTCCATGGACACGTCACAGGTTGCCATCTTCAAATTCCCATCCTGAGTGCTGCTCACTCTGGCAAATGGAATGCATCAATAGGTAGATGGAAAGAGTTTCTCAAAAAATGCATATACAATGGTTGGGTCGATAGTTGCTTTCTGACAGCACAGCGTTACACTCCCTGACACATTGGTGTGTCTCACGTACAACTTGAACAAAAGGAACGCCACGCTAATGCAAATCAATACTGGAACAAATGGAAGGAAAGCAAGACGCGGGAGAACTATATAGTATCTTGTGCATTGTGTCCACGCAGGTAGGCCTTCAGTGTGTACTATATTTAGATCTAGTTGGTTTCCCAATTCACTTGCCTTACTCTGCGATCTTCAATGGCGTTCCAAGATGTTCCATGTGCATCCCACATGGGAGGATAAAGACTTGGAAAGGCATATTTTGCATAGATTTGCCACACTACCAGTACATTTGCGGTAGTTTAAAGTATAATTTTTTTGTTTGCCCATCCATCAACTACTGCCCAGCACAAACCAACCGTACAATATACACCTACCAGGTAGTGCCCGGCACGCGCCGGGGCGGAAGTTTCAAAAAAAAGGACATGAGTATAGGAAACATTTTGTTTATAGGAATTGTTGGGGACCTGGGAAGAAGTGAAGTGAAGTGAACTGAACTAAAAAGAAATGAAATGAAATGAAATGAAATGAAAATGAAATGAAATGAAGGAACGAAAGAATGAAATGCATGAAAGAATCAATGCAAAAATAAATCAATGGAATGAAAGGAACGAATGAAGGAATGAATGAACGCATGAATGCATGAATAAATCAATGACCAAATGCATGCATGCATGCATGCATGAATGAACCAATGAAATAAAAGGAATGAATGAATGCATGATTGATTGAATGAATGCACGAATGACTGACTGACTGACTGACTGAATGAATGAATGAATGAATGCATGAAAGAAAGAAAGAATGAAAGAACAGAAGAAAGAAGGAATGAATGAAAGAAGGACTGAAAGAATGAAAGAAAGAAGGAATGAAGGAATGAAGGAATGAAGGAATGAAGGAATGAAGGAATGAAGGAATGAATGAATGAATGAATGAATGAGTGACGGAGCGAATGAAAGCCTGAATGAAAGGAAGCAAAAATGAATGAATGAATGAATGAATGGATGAATGAATGAATGAATGCATTCATGAATGCATGAATGCATGAATGCATGAATGCATGAATGCATGAATGCATGAATGCATGAATGAATGAATGAATGAATTGAATGAATGAATTGAATGAATGAATGAATGAATTGATGAATGAATCTGAATCTGAATCTGACTCTGACTCTGACTCTGACTCTGAATCTGAATCTGAATCTCAATGTGAATGAATGAATGAATGAATGAATGAATGAATGAATGAATGAATGAATGGAATTGAATTGAATTGATTGAATGAATGAATGAATGAATGAATTGAATGAATTGAATGAATTGAATGAATGAACTGAATGAATGAATTGAATGAATGAATTGAATGAATTGAATTGAATGAATTGATTTGAATGAATTGAATTGAATGAATGAATGGAATGAATGGAATGCATGGAATGACTGGAATGAATGGAATGCATGGAATGCATGGAATGCATGGAATGCATGGATGCATGGAATGCTGGAATGGAATGGAATGGGATGGAATGGGATGGAATGGATGCAATGTTTGCAATGGATGCAATGGATGCAATGGGTGCAATGCATGGAATGCATGGAATGCATGGAATGCATGGAATGCATGGAATGCATGGAATGCATGGAATGCATGGAATGCATGGAATGCATGGAATGCATGGAATGAATGGAATGCATGGAATGCATGGAATGAATGGAATGCATGGAATGAATGGAATGAATGGAATGAATGGAATGAATGAATGGATGAATGGATTGATGAATGAATGAGTGAATGAACGAACGAATGAATGAATGAATGAATAAATGAAGGAAGGAAGGAATGAATGATCGAATGATCGAATGAAGGAAAGAAAGAATCAAGAATGTTTGCAACCTCTTTGGGTGCTCACAAAAGCTCTGAAACCAAAACAGAAGTCTGATCTGCGAGGAGTGGTGAACGCAGGCCAAGCAAAGACGCATCGGGAGTGGAAAGCCGCCCAAAATTTCCTACGTCGGCGTTCGACACAAGTGAATGAGACGCAGGAGTCGGTGCTGCAGGAGTGGGAGGTGCTGTTTTATGCGAAATGACATGAAATGAAATGACAATCTAGAGATAGACAACGAAAAATAGAAGACCAATTAAAAGCTGTGCGAAGTGCGACATATCATGTCCGTGCCCTCCGCTCCTGTGGAGGTCGCCCCCTCCACTTCCTATCACCCACAACGCAACGAGATGTTTTCGATGACACTCGACTCTGCCCGGAGAAAGAGAATATTTCTATAAATGAAAAAACATGCAAAGCCCTTTTTTCGATCTTTGCGGTCGCATGGTTTCTGCATCGCTACAGTCTCGTGCACCTTTTGCCGACCTCATCTACCAAAAGTGCCCGACCCTTTTTAACGATTTTTATGTGAAATCGAGCTCTCGCTACAGTCTCCTGCACATTTTGTCGGCCTCATCTTCCAAAAGTGCTCCGCGCACCTCAGCTTTTTTTGGTTTTATGTGATCAACTATATGCATACTTGATAATGATGCGGCTGGCATATGACTTCGAGCTCTCGATCTCGTGTGCCTTTTGCCGTCCTCATCTTCCAAAAGTGCCCCGCGCCCCTCAGTGTTTCACGATTTGTATGTGAAATCGCGCTCTCGCTACAGTCTCGTGCGCCTTTTGCCGACCTCATCTTCCAAAAGTGCCCCGCGCCCCTCAGTGTTTCACGATTTGTATGTGAAATCGCGCTCTCGCTACAGTCTCCTGCACCTTTTGCCGACCTCATCTACCAAAAGTGCTCCGAGCCCGACAGTTTTTTTTCGATTTTTATGTGAAATCGAGCTTAAAGGTGCCCGACAGTTTTTTATGAATTTTATGTGAAATCGTGCTCTAGCCACAGTCTCGTGCACCTTTTGCCGACCACATCTTCCAAAAGCACCAGTTTTTTAACATGTTCAAGTGGAAATCGAGCTCTTGCGACAGTCTCGTGCACCTTTTGCCGACCTCATCGTCCAAAAGTGCTGCAAGCCCGATCAAGCCCGACAGTTTTTTACGTTTGCCGATCTCATCTTTTCAAAAGTGCTCCGAGCCCGACCCTTTTTAACGATTTTTATGTGAAATCGAGCTCTCACTATACAGTCTCGTGCACCTTTTGCCGACCTCATCTTCCAAAGGTGCTCTGAGCCCGACAGTTTTTTACGATATTTATGTGAAATCGAGCTCTCGCTACAGTCTCGTGCATCTTCCAAAAGTGCTCCGAACGCCCTAGTTTTTTAACATGTTCAAGTGGAAATCGAGCTCTTGCTACAGCCTCGTGCACATTTTGCCGTCCTCATCTTCCAAAAGTGGTCCGAACGTGACAGTTTTTTACGTTTTTGGTGTCCCCCGGGACTTGCGCCATTGGACTTGGGAGGGTTCGTTTGGGTTAGGAGGACCCCGGGGGCGGCACTATAAGGGTTGGCTCCCGATGAGCACCTCCTTTCTCTCCTTCCCCGAAGTCGGCGCAAGTGTGACAGTGCCCGCTTTCTCCAACTGGGTTGCTGATGTTGCTGTGCCTGCCGCTACTGGGGCTCTGGCTTGGTCCTGTTTGCAAGTTGCCGTTGATGGTATTTTTTGGTTTACCCGTACTATTTCTGTGATTGGCCCATGCAACCATGCTTTCATTTTCGCTTCTTCCCTGGGCCGGCCTGTCTGCGCGTCTTCTCTTCTTCTCTCCCTTCTTTGTTCCTGTGCTTTCCTTTGCTTTCCTTTGCCTTCCTTGTTTTTTCTTCTTTTTCTTTCCTTTGTGTTGCGTCTGTTTTCCTTTCTTCTTCTCCCCTTCTGGTTGGACGGTTTTTGTACTTCCGTGTGGTTGGTATTTTGGGTTTTCTGTTGCCCTCTCCTGGGTTGGGGCTTCGGCTCGCCCCGTGTGTTTTCCGTGGGTTGGGGCTTTGGCTCGCCCCGTGTGTTTTGCCTTGTTCTGCTGTGTGATTTCTCTGTGTTGAGGCTTTGGCTCGCCCCGTGTGTTTGCCTTGTTCTGCTGTGTGATTTCTCTGTGTTGGGGCTTCGGCTCGCCCTGTGTGTTTGCCTTGTTCTGCTGTGTGATTTCTCTGTGTTGAGGCTTTGGCTCGCCCCGTGTGTTTGCCTTGTTCTGTTGTGTGATTTCTCTGTGTTGGGGCTTCGGCTGGCCCCGTGCGGCTTCGGCTCGCAACGTCCACGTGGTGTTGGGCATCTGCCCGCCCGTGTCACGCCAGCTTCTGCCTGCTGGCGTCGTCGGGGTGGGTGTTTTGCTTGGGGCTGTTCGTGGTCATGGATTTCCTGTCTGGTGTGGATGGGTCCGACTCTGAGTCGTCGGCGGACGAGGCTGTTGGGGATATTCCTCCTGTTCGCCTTTTCATCTTGCAGTGGGGCAACATCAGTTGATCCCTTCTTTTTTTGGTGGGTGTGTGGCGTCACAGTTAGTTGGAAAGGGTCCCAGGCTACTCGGGTTGCAGCTGTTCTGTGCGGTGGCGTGGGTCGGGATCGATACCTATGGGGTCGTTGGTTGGGAACTACTCTGTCCTCTTTAGGTGCTGGTATTGCCAACTTGTCTGTAACCGGGATCCGCGGGGATGACAATCATGTGCAGTACGCGGCCTCTGGGACTGGTTTCTCAGCCGTCTCGCATGGTGCACAATATGTTGCAGGACCTGGGCCGATATGCAGACCTTGAACACGCGTCGGCAGTTGGGGTGGCATTGCAATCCGCAAGGATATTCTCGGTCACTGTTTTGATGCACAACGAGATTCTGTCGGGTGGGGGATTGCTGGGAATGGTACACTGAGTTCGGGCGTTGTGCTTCGGGTCAGTCATAGGTATTTTACCGGGGTTTGATGCCATTGCCAGTCGGGTCTCCGATGAAGGGCGCCTGGTTTCCTACCTGCGCGCGCAGTTGGTGCTATGCTGGGATAAAGGCTGGTATGCTCTCTTTGGGAGCCGCGAAACGGCGGAAACAGAGACCCTCCTTCGGTGACCACGGCAGCCACTTTATCCGAAAAAAACACAGGGTTTCGCGCCCGAGTGTTTTCAAGCCTGAATTCACAAGTTCCCGATCTCTTACACTTCCCAGCTACTTTATGATGATGTGGTTGCCATGATGATGTGGTTGACATGATGATTGAGACGATGATGTGGTTGCCATGATGGTGAGAAAGCTAGGCATGACAATCGTCCGTAACTCGGAAGTTTCCTAACTAAACTTCCTTTGATAATATCAGCTGTCTATAGCTGTCTCAGTTCCAAACAATCATGGCAAACTCTCAAAGCGTATTGAAAATACTGCTACAATGATCTACAATGTGTCACAGCAGCGTCTTTTCACGCTGCCAGCATTGCGCTCCAGTCAATCACAAGATAGTCTTTTGAACCGGATGTTGCATCACTAGCGACATACCAACAACAACAAGTGAAAGAATTATAAAATGTGTAAAATCAAGTCGTGTACACGTTCAAGGGATTGTCTTGTCGATACCTGAGGAAGGATTGTAAGCCCGTGGGCACTTTTTAGTCTACAGATTTTTCATGTATTTTCAATATCACAAGTTGAAACCCGCCTTGGACAACCTTCAACATGAGCTAGTTACCTTACACCAGGAATCAGACTCTTTGCGGAGGCATCTACCATGGTCGTGGTCCGTATGAAGTCGTTGCCCACCGTGTACCGCCTCCAGCACGCAGGAGCACTTGGAATGGCTCAGCAGGAAACACTTGCAGTCACTTGCAGTCACTTGCAGTCACTTGCACCCTGAACGAATCTCCCAAACATCTCCCAAATGAATGCGCCAAAGCATGGCAATGCTTCGAGGCTTAGGAAACTTTGGATATCTGCATCGGGCTTATGCTCCCTGACACATAGCCTGTATCCAAGTCCAGTGTTGAGTGTTGCTGCCAGGGCAGTTGCCCAAGTAAATATTTTTGGACATTGGCTGAAAGTCTAAGCCTCAGAGAGCGAATCAGTAAACGCGCTAGTAAGTCCCAGCGTGTCCATGCTTGTCCCATATACTAACAAAGCAGAACAGGTGAAAACGGAATGATCGGAATGTCAGATTCTTCCATATAGGTGGAAGAAATAAATTTATTGCCGATCCAACTGCCAAATACGTCAAGAATGCGCGCCGGCTATTTACAGAGGTTGAGGATGGTTGAGGAAACTCAGGCACACTGTGGTCCACAACTTGAGGCCCAAGGTGTCGTCTTTGAAAGCTAGGCAAGGCCCCACAAAAGCATGAGTGCTCGAGACATATCACTAGACAAAATATTCTAGGTCTACCCTGTGGACAACTAGCGGTGACGCACCAAATGTTGGTGACTGAGGGCTGAAGCAAGAAGGAAAAAACACCCTTCAGGTGAAAAAAAAACCTTCCGCCCCACGCCCAACACCAGCCACGGACCCAGGGCCGGCAGAAACGTTGTGGAAAAGGCCCGGTATCTAAAGACAGTGCAACCCCCGAAGCCAAAGGTACAGCTTAGTCTAAATTTGATCCAAGCTTTGTCTAGAAACGCCGCAGAGCACATGCACCTGTAGATGCAACCTCTATACAACGAAACTGTTTTGAGTAGACCCAAACTGTGAGACCCGGGGAGACATTTTTGTTGGCAAATTCACGATGATGTCTGAGAAGCCTGGGCAACTGAGCAAAAAACCTTACAAGAACTGTGTATCTGCATCGAGTTTAATGCTGCCGGAAAACACTTGTTGTCCCATCTACTTCTCAGAAGAGCGCCGTCGAAGTACCAGAGTTGATTTTGAGCGCCATGGCAAGAATGCATGTAGACCTGGGGCTTTCATGGAGTTTGTTCAAGATGTCAAGAATAGCTGAGCGGCGCAGGTCTTGGCTCTGCTGGAAAGGTTTCTAGTGAAAAGACAGCTTCTCAAATGCGAGAGGAGACAAATTAAGACAAATTAAAGTTTGGTTAAAGGATGTTAAAGGCAATGCTTGTCACTTGTCAGTTTTGATGCCTGAAAATGCATCCCCAGACCCCAGAAAATGGCCATACAGATCCTCACAACTGGCCCAAAAATAGGAAAATGCGGAAAAAAGATGAAAAAAAGTGATACACCCGTGGCTTGAAGAGTGAGCTAATGGCCCCCGTCTAGCAAACCGAGGAATAGTGCTGAACAGTGGGATAGGATGAGCTCTATATAGCTCTGTCACTCTGGATCTTCGTCCTACCACAGCTTTGCTGCTTTATCAACATTTCACCCAACAAAGCTTCCGACCTGTCTGCATAATTACAGGCAGTGTGGTCACTCCCAAGGTTTCATGGAACTTCTATGAACCATCATGCACTTATATATCATCATGCGATAGCTTCTTTCATCTTCTATTAACACCTACAAATCCTTTCCAGATCTTTCACATAGAGATGCTTCTCCAGTACTCGGATTGTAGTCCATGCAGGAGTCGCTGTAGTCGGTCTTCAGGAGCTCTCCATCAAAATACCACTTCTGGTTCTTGTCTAAATGACAAGGATGTACTTTCCTTAAAGGCAAACGTTAAGACAAGTTCACACTCCATTAAATGAAGAGTTCCATACTCGCACAATCTCGCACTTGTCGGACCAAATGTTGTTGCAACATGTTGATGTTGCAAAAGTGGCGTCTAGTTGCCGAAAAGATCAATTTGGATCACCCTTCAGGTTTCGAAGAAAAGCAAAGAAAAGGGATGCTGCTAGATATTTTCTATGACTTGCTGATTGCAATACACACCAAAACTCCACGCAAATCCCCCTGCGATGCAAATGCAAACACCGTTGTTTATCGAGGAAGTCAGCTTTGTTGTAGCGTGATTCGCTGAATCAATGGTGGCCAAGGAGCACGTTCTGATTTCCAGGATCATAGTCCACACACTCTCCATTGGAGGCGTAGATTCTGCGCCCTTGAACCTTGTGAGCTACTGAGGAGAGTGGTTAAGGGGATTGTGTACACTACCCGGTCACTACCCGCTATGCCACAACACTGCCACACACTACCCATCAAGGTCTTCTGCAAACTATACCACATCATATGACTCAATGATTCCTTTACGGTTCTTCGCCAACCTGTGAAGTAAATTGTAAACCATTGAAATGCCAATTTTGACCGAGCGTTTTGACCAGTTTATTTCTTCATGCCCAAGGTACTGGTGCATATGTGCATGTGCCACAAACACCGACGCCCATTCCACCCAACATGAGCTTGTGGTCACATTGCTGAATCAAGTCCTGACGTTCAACTTCTGCTGCATAGTAGCTTGCAACCAAAGGTTCTGACTATGCGTGGCTTAGACTGCCCCATGTAGTACAGTAAGTCTTCCAGAATAATTATTGACAATTGACATTGTCATAGACATAGATTGTCAAGTATTGATGTTCGGTTCATCCTGTACTGTCTGAAATGTGTAAAATTTGTGCGTCTCCCCTCATTCTCAACAATCTCGAAGGCATCACGCATCATCACGCTTTGCTTTTCCCACCCTTGAAATCTCATGAAATCTCTGTCTTTTGAAGCATGACCAAATTTGTTAAATATGACCAAAAAAAATAATCCAAGTCATCAGACGTCCTGAAAGAGACAGCTATATGTGTCAGGGCCAGCACCCAGAAAGGACCGGCGCTTTGTGACGTGCCAGCACATCTGCGGATCCGCAATCCGACACGACTTCCTATAGCTCCTGAGCCATCAGAAAAGAAAACGAAAACGTCAACCATGGTCCACTCAGAGTAAACATGAGTTCACTCAGTGCTTGGGGCGGGGCACATGACCGAAACAATCGCCAGCATCGCAAAGCTGCAAACAAACACGTCATGGAAACCGAATGATGGTTCATAGCATCCACCAAAATCCACCCGATAAGTTGATACATGTTGGACATGTCTTTCCAGGATGTGGTTTGTTAGCTGTGATACCACAGGGCAGCTTGCCGATGGCTGAGAGGCAGTGAGTTCAGAAGAGGAAATGCAACTCATACAAGATTAACATAGATTAACACCGTCAATATTGGCGGCCAAACATGTTTGTGGATGGCAGATGATGGCAGGACAGGATGTTTCTTGCGCAATACAGAAGAACTTGGTCAAGGGATGTCAAGGGAAAGCTTAGTCTGATGTCAAGGGATGATGTCTGATGGGGTGTGAATTTGCAGCTGAATGATCCTGAACGTACCAGCAGGTACCAAACAAAGGCAGTGAGTCAGCACTGGTCACAAGGGCTGTGACATAGATGTTTTGGCATGACCGAATGATTGGACAACATTGGACATTATACAGTATGTGTACTCTGTAATGCTCTGTATATGAGATAGGCTAAATTGGTATCATGGATGATTAGACATTAGATTATATATATATAATATAAGATTTATACCTTGTATGTGGAAGAAACTCATATGAATTTTGACACGCTTATAATGTGTGTGTGTGTACAGATGTATATTTGATTATATTTGAGCAGTCCCAGGTGACTTTTTTGGGACAGATCCCATAGGTCGGAAACATCCCCACCACACCATGAATATCTCCGGCTTGAGCTATCTGTAGCTTTTGTTCTGTCTATTTCTGTCTTGTGTTCAAATCGGTCCTCTTGCACCAGTCAACGGAAAGCGATTGTAACAATCTCAGAAATCTTGCCAATCTGACATAATTTGACTATCCGTGGGATTACATGTAGGCGGGTTTTGTGCACTAGTTCGCTTTTGCGTTTTTTTGACTTAATGTTGCGTTGTAGGTTGATCGGCCCAAACAGGATGTTGATTTTGCAGAGAGCATGACCTAAGCTTCGTGAACAATGGAGGAACTTGGACCTCCATGCATGACAAGCATCATACCGTACAGGCTGCCAACTGTCCCAAGCTCTCTTACCTTGCCACACAACAGGTTGACACTTTGAATCCTGACCTTCATGCAGCCAACCATGGTGTCGCATCATGTCTCTAAGTCAAATTGCAAGGGACGACACGAGAAATGCAAACAACATGTCACCTGACACACCGCAGTGGTTGCATTTGGAGCATGCGTACATTTGGTGAAACATGGTGAAACTCGTAGAGGCATCATAGAAACTGTCAATGAAAATAAAATAAATATTTTAATGGTGGCATTCTCTGCGCTTTCTGCCAGTGCGTTTAGGGTACAAGCTCGTCGCATGCACGATAAATTCGGCACTGCTTGGAGGACATGACTTCACCTGCAATTTTGGGAGTTGCAGATGGCAGCTGCGGTCAAACTGATTTGAAGTGTTGCAACGCAGCTTGAGCGCCAAAGGCATTGCTTGTTGGGGCATGCCAGGCATGGCTTTTGAAAAAACGAAGAAACATCTGATGGGCTAGACACAGTACTGTTGCTGCATCGGCATGCCAAGTGAGCAAGACATACAATAACACGACTACCCTTCACAACCCTTCACAAATGTTGCGACAAGCGTTGATACTGTAAGCTGTGACAAGCCTTCCCAGTAGTAAGGACACTGCTGGGCCAAGCACTTCGTTCTGCACGCGCTACTGTCCAAATTTTCCTCCTCTGACAACACCTGTATCTCCAGGAGATTCCTTAAGTGCACGAGTTTGACGAGTTTGACGAGTTTGCCTTCGATGTTGCACAGGTCGAACGGGTCACACCGAATCTGAGAACTCTTTGGACTCCACATGAGTGCATATGAGTACACTCTGCACATCTCAGCACACTGATCCAAAAGGATCAGAAAGGATCCAAGAGAGATCAGTATGATCAATGCTCTTCACATTTCTGTACCTTCTTGTCCCGCTGTTCCTTCACATCGCATCACCGTTGTTTTGGATTGTTTTGGACCATATTTTGGTGTAGACAGTGTAAACTGAAAAGCATCCGTTGATTCTTACACAAAAACAGAGTACCTTGGATAAGAGATATGTGAATTGCAGATGTTGGAAGGGACCTCCATCCCATTGAAGGTTGGCAGAAATTCTTCACAAGTCCCGGTTGAAACAGCCAAGCGACTCTTGAGCACAAACAAACTCTCCTTCGACCTAGGCATGAAAGAGCTGAGCTTTGGATCGTTGTAGCTCCAGCAAATAGCAGAAAATACAGTCGCTACTCGCCTGGACTACTGCTTCTTATAGCCGTAAGCACTGGACAATCTGGAATGGCGGAACAATAAACTCATTGTTGCTGCCAGGAGGAATTTCTCCCACACTATCGCCTGAAGGCGGCGAATGCTGGTTGTCTGTGCTTTTGAACACCTTGAAGGCACTGGAGACGTACAGGACTCTACAATGTATACAATATTCAATATTCTTTAGATTTCTTTAATGTATACAAGTAAGCACGACAGACCACAATTCATCTCATGGTGGATTTGGCTGGATTCATTCCTGATATGATATGATCGGATTGCCTGTTGCTGGAGGCAACGAACCCCACGACGGAGGGACACATTCACATGGATGTAGCCAGTGATCATCTGCAGGATCGGTCGAGAGGTCATCAAATACCTCAGAACCATACCGTATCATACCGTATCTTTCTACAATGTTCTACAATGCTACAATGTGAAATCGAACGCCCCCGACGAACAAGGGAAATGGGCATCGACTTGGGTCTCCTTGGTCACTTGGGAAGGGAGAGATTTGCAGAACAAACCTTTGGTGCCACTGCCACTGAAGCTCCAAAGCAACTGAAGCCACCACCAGGGGTGGTCTTGATATGTCTTGATCATTTCAAGACAAACAAACCTTCCTGGCCGAAATGCCAAAGGAAAGACGGACATCTCCTCTTCCTCTTCGGCTTCCGTTCTGTCCTTGAAAAGGAAGCGCTTCAAACGGTTAGCATCACTGAGCTATTTCATTCTATATGTCTCCAACCTTGAAAGCGTCGAACGGAATATTTCATGCTTGGACAATGTTTAAGCTGTGCACAGCAAAAAAGGCATGACGGGTCCTTGCCGGTTATGTTTGGTTTCTGACAACCAGGTGCTGCTACTACAGCACGGGCGCTTGTCTCCGAAAGCTTCTTCACCTGATGGGAAAAGGATCGGAAGTGGTGTGTCCAACGAAAAACAGGACACGGAGAAAAACTACATCACAGTGACGTTGCAATCCTCTTGGAGAGTGATCGCAAGACTTTCAGCCTTTCAGGGTTACACCCCCAGCCAGACTCTAAGACTCCTCTAAAAGCTCTTTTCCAGACTCTCAAGGTCCAAGGGATTCCAAGTATATGAGAGTCTGCGAGCCTGGAAAGTAAGAATCCTATAACCAGAACAACAATAATTCATCGAGCTCTATCGAGCTAATTACAGTAGTATGATCTTCCTTGTGATGGCAATGCGATGCTAGAAATTTATAGGGCCAGCTTCTCTTTCTATTTTTTTCGCTTGGAGCACAGTCTGTGTAAAAAATGGGAATGGCAATCAAAGTCAGAACTCGTGGGGCATCTTTACGCAAGAAGTACAAGGAAAACCCTCCGAGCGATTTTGTGCAAACAACCGAGATATTCTTGCCCTGTTTGTATATCTCTTTGCACACAGCAGAGGCTAGGCCTACAGGGCTTAAGGATGCTTAAGGTATCTCAAAAGCGACCGCTTTGGGGAGATCAGTCATGTCGGGCTAAAAGGCAGCAATGTGCCAAAATGTGCCAAATAAGCATGTGCACTTTGGATTGGCAGATAAAGGGATGAAAAAGGTCTCCCCGTGGGGCTGTCTTGAAAAAACTTCAAACACTTCAGGATGCGCTGGCAGATTTTCTGTGCGGGTGATTGACAGAATATCAGCGTACTTTGAAGTACTTTGTAAAGTGCTGGCCACAGCTTCTTATGACTTACTCCTACAGTGTTTTTAGAAGCGAATTGTGGACAAAGCATTTTGGGGAAAGCAGACTTGTTGAGGACACTGTAAAAAGAGCGAAGTTCCACTCCTCACAAAGTATAGTGATTAATTAGTGCCTGGCGTGCAAAGAACATCCAGTCTCAGTTTCGGGTATGTGTTGTTCTGCGAAAATTTGGCCCTACGCACTTGACTTATGAAACAAATTTCATATGTCATTTGACCGCTACGTGTGGCATTGAAACCGTGACTGGCTGTGACTGCCACCTGCACATTCCACCAACGAAATTCCATTTATTCCCAGTACCGGCATGGACAGTTGGTGGTGCAGATTATGAAGAACTGGGTCTGTCTCGCATACTAATCAAGGAGCTCCGGTTGACACGTCATTAAGTGGGATGCTAACGTTACGTGATTTTAGTTAGTTGTTCTCGTGTCCTGTCCTTGTTTGAGACACCAGAAACCAACGACAAACGATTGCACTTTGTATTTGTATGTCTGCTCTTTTGACCCCCAAAGCGCACAATCATGTTGGCAGCACCAGAAACCTTTGAACCTTTGTACTCATTGGCAATCCCAGCATGCAAAAGCACTGGCTGTCCACTAGCCAGTAGCTGTTTGTTTTTGATCGTTTTTGATATGATTTGCTATCAGTATGTTTTGCTGCGGAAACGATATCTTAATTTCCGACATTTTGGTCAGCAAGCAATCCATGGAGCTCAATCGCGAAACAGAAAAGTTTCACCCTCGATAAGCAGAATCCACTAGGCACTCTTTAGGACCCTGCTAGCCCAACTGCAGTGTGGTGGGTTCCTCCCCTTATATCATCTCGATATCATCTCGCAACACCTTCATGATTTCACAAAGCAAAGGCCTGTGATGCCAATCTGAGCTTCTCAAACTCAGAATCCGGTAGGCTTAGGTCCCTACAGTGAGGTGAACTTCAGTGCTGCTGAAGACATCGCTGGGCAAATCAGAATTGGAGGACTTCAAACACGCAACGATGGAACCATGAAGCTCCACATAGCCCATTGTCATGTTCTGATAGTCCTTCAAATGCAAGTTGCAAACACTTTGGTATCAGTGCCATTCAAGAGAACTATGTATCCCAGCGTTGGCAGAATAGGCAAGCATCTTTGAGGGTGTATTGCACAACTGGGCAAAATCAGTTGTTTGTTTCTGTCTGAGTCCTTGTGAGGATCAGGCTTCAAAATAGCCCAGTCGCCACTGTCGCATGCACTGTCACTGCGAGAACTGTCATAGCGTTGTAGCCAGAATGTTTCCTGTAAACTGCAGGGCTTCATTCATCGTAATTTGACATGCCATGAAAATATGTGAAAGCAGTGTTTGCGCACGACCATCAGCAACAACAACAACAGCAACAACAACAACAACAACAAGAAAAGAACAAGAACAAGAACCAGAAGAACAATAAGATCAATAGGAACAATGATAAGAATAAGAATAAGAATAAGAATAAGAATAAAAATAAGAAGAAAAGAAGAAGAAGAAGAAACAAAGAAGAAGAAGAAGAAGAACCACAACCACAACCACAACCACAACAACAAGCACAACCACAACGACAACGACACCGACAGCAACAGTCACAACAACAGCAATGTCAATAGCAAGCAGCAGCAATCAGCAACATCAACAGGAAAAACAAAAACAAACGACAACAACAGGACAAGGACAAGGACGAGGACAAGGACAAGAGCGATGAACACTGAGAATGCCTGTTTGCCGAGGAAAGAGGCCTTCCAAGCAACCGTCAACACCATCAAGAACTCTGATTCAGATTTCAGCTACATCCATCATTTTGGACAGCATCGTGCACATAAACACATATGTACGAGTATATGGTACCTATGTAGTATATTAAAATTATATATATAATTTAATTGATTTCAATTGTATGTAAATATCCAATTGCATCAAGCGTGTGCATATCAACATGGGCTGGAATTCCTGCAACCATGAGTCCTGCTTGGTAAGGCCCTGCTTGAAATAGACTGGCCCTTGACCAGCGACTTCCACGTTTTCGCCGCGTGGGCAATACTTCCCTGAGACGTAATGAAAGTTTGGCACCTTGATGTCAATGCAGCTTCCTCTTTCACCGCATCCTGGATAGTGCTCATAGACCCACTGCTCCTGCAAATCAGGGCATGCTGGGCATTGATTTTTCAGGGAGGTGAACAGGAGCATAAGAACCGATACACTCCGACAGTCATGGTACTAATACGCCACAGATACTGATACTCTCCTGAGGCTATGGAATTGCTACTTCTATCATCTTCTACCTTCCTTGACTCCTTGTGCCTTCAGGGATAGTTGCAATATCTTGCAACTGCATCGCTACCTGCTACCTCCACTAGTCACGTTTTACTAGATACTGTAGATAAATGGTTCAACTTACTAGGCACCGTGAGCCATGAACCACATTGTATAGCTGCATCATGTGTTCGTCTGGTGCTTTGGAATATCCACAGCATCTTGGGTGCTTTAGCGGCCTATAACCATTTCCCGGCAATTCCCTGATGGCATATCAAAGCAGTCCTTGTGCTGGCAAGCGAAATCATTAGGGCGCTTGCAAATACCCGAGAAAAAGTAACACTCATTGTTGAGAAGGTGAAAGTGCGAGCAGGTGGCATCTGCACCTCTGCACTTGCTGATATTGCAACATCTGCTGATGTTGCGAACAAACCATGGTAAAGTAGAAATGTGAGCACTCATGTTTTCAAAAGACAATGTAATTCTTGAATGTTTGCAATCAAGGTCATAGTTTTCCCATGTTGTCCAATTTTGTTGGCTGTTTCCGTCAAGGTACGGCACAAAGACCGGCAATCATTCTTGGACCTAGAGCCCTTGTGATAACGGTGAGCGAAACTCAACCTCTTCTTTGCCCAGCAGGTCCTCAGATGCTTTTCATGGTGGTTGCCTTTCTCTAGCCAAATATTGCAGAACATGGCAAAACAATAACACCCAACATTTCTCATCATTTCTCCAAAATATTTCTCACGTACCAACTCTCTGGGAAGTGCCTGGGGAAGGACATTTTCCTTGTGACATTTTATGTCAGGCATTGGCATTGCCATCAGAAAGTCAAATCTCTTGTGGCCGAAACTGTATTGATTTGAATTTGAACCTGATATGATTTTCTTCTCTGCGCACCATGGTCGGTTGTCCCTGCCAGAGAAAACCAGGCCATCCATTTTTCACAGAAGTTTGTAAAAAACTATTTCACTTCGAATGATCCCCACCATGGCATCTATAGCTACATACTCCACAGCTCTGGAAAGAAATATCTAAATACGCAACCTGGCCGAAGGACACCAAAGAGCAGCATCATTTTTTCCACCGTTGCTGACAACTATCTGACATTTTTTCTGGCATTCTATCTGGCATATCTTCTGACGTTCTATCTGACATATCTTCTGACATTCTTTCTGGCATATCTTCTGACATTCTGTCTGGCATATCTTCTGACATTCTATCTGACATCTTTTCTCACATTCTTCCCGTTGAGGTCCGGCAGTGCCCACTGCGATCTGGAAGTCGAGGTTGAGGTCCGGCAGTGCCCACTGCGATCTGGAAGTCGCGGTTGAGGTCCGGCACTCCCCACTGCCATCTGGAAGTCGCGGTTGAGGTCCGGCACTCCCCACTGCCATCTGGAAGTCGCGGTTGAGGTCCGGCACTCCCCACTGCGATCTGGAAGTCGCGGTTGAGGTCCGGCACTCCCCACTGCCATCTGGAAGTCGCGGTTGAGGTCCGGCAGTGCCCACTGCGATCTGGAAGTCGCGGTTGAGGTCCGGCAGTGCCCACTGGGATCTGGAGCTCGCGGTGGAGGTCCGGCAGTGCCCACTGGGATCTGGAGCTCGCGGTGGAGGTCCGGCAGTGCCCACTGGGATCTGGAGCTCGCGGTGGAGGTCCGGCTGTGCCCACTGGACTGCGAGGAGGAGGCGGCGGGTGAGGAGGCGGAGGAGGAGAACAGCTCTGATAAAATCTAACAACCCTCACCTGGCAGGTGGGGAAAAATTCAATTTGCAGAGCTTAAATTGTAACTTAAGAGTCGTGTATGTCCACATATTCAATAGCAAAGCACCTCCGAGGGAAACGTGGGAAACGTGGGAAATGCTGTGCCTTGCCGTGTTTTTGCTGTCGGGTGTGAATGTGGGGAATCATGTCCAATGTTTCTGGGGTAGGCACGGATATGGTCAAACCGTGGTCGAAAAGCAATGCCTAGCAGTCTGTTGGACGCGAAATGTTCTGATGGACTTGTGCTACCACTGTTGAATGCGAGGTTCGCTTCAATGGACCTAGGTTTTAATGAAGCGTGCGTCTACCTATGAGTATTGACATGTATTGACCGTATTGATTTTGCTATTTCGAGTCTATTAAAAGCTGCATTGTTTATGCACTGATAAGTCACTCATTGATATCTTTTGAGTTCATGATTTGCAAAGGAAGATTGCTTGGTGTTGCATTGTGCCAGGTCTTGCCTTCCAGGGTCGAGCTGGTCTTTACTATGTTTGTGGTGCCGAGGCTTTGACAAATTATCTCAGCACGCTTGTTTTCCACGTGCTCGCTGTCTTGGACCATCTTGAGCCAAAACATATACAGATGGCGAAATTTCAACACCCCTCCTTCAACGCTAGCCGCTAGTGATAGTTTAAGTACACTTTCGTTGATTCTAAAGCCTTTGCTCCGCTGGCTTTTCCTTCACGGAACTCTTGGCACAGCGTTCTCATGTGTTTTTCACATGCCTCTCTACTCACAGGTTTTGTGCATAGGTCAGCTAGATTTTGTTTTGTGTTCACGGATTTGCGGTCAGGTCATTGTTCGCCACGCGTTCTTGTACCCAAAGGTATCGGGTTTGTACGTGACGTAGTTTGCCTAGACCGCGTCTTGCAGCAGTACCTCTCGCTGCTGATGAATCGCTCAGCACGATTAGGTCGTTTTTCTGACCCCAATCTGCCATCAGCGATTTCAGACTTAGTCCTAGTGCAACTCACTCTCTCCACTGCTTAGCGCAATGGTGATTGCAAGTTTGATCCGTGCTTCACGCAGTGTGTTCCAATGGATATAGTGTATCCAGTTGTGCTTCGCCGGGTCAGTAGACATCCAGCATGGTCGCTATCTGCGTGTACTTTAATCACATTCGTAGGTCGTTGTGGGCGGTACACGTTGACTACTCTTGGTCGTCCTACCCGATACTTCCTAACCTTTTCAGGTCTTTTATGTCGCTTTCATTCGGTGCTTCCATCTTTCCCGTCAGACTTTTCACAGCTTCACTCAGGTCTGCTCTGTCTAGCGCTAGGAATTGGGCTCTCATTACCAAACTCCTGTAGAGCGTGCTCTGATCTGCCGTCGCCGGTGGAAGTCCACGATGCCAGCACTTCAGAACTTTTCTTCTTCTCCGCTGGTGTAGTAATACCCTTTGCGTTCTGCAGATTCAACTGTCTTATGATCATCTCAGCATGTCTTGGATCTGCTTTGTAGGTTACTCGTCCAGTTTCTTGTTCGTATGACACAGTCCTATTTAGGATCGTCAGATGTTTTCCGGCACCTTTTCCGATTTCTCCATCGCATCTGTATTCGTACTTTTCCTTCAAGACTTGTTGCATGTACTCGTGCCCCTCCTGGTCAGCTAGTACCAGGAAGTCATCTCCGTGCACCAGTAGTTTGATATCCGACTCATCGTGTCTGAAGACACTTGTCCAGGCCTGTCCCTGGTGGAAGTGTTTCTTTTTCAGATGGTTGGAATAGTCTTCCTGCCACACGTGACTCGCATCTTGAGTCCCGCACATGGTTTTCTTGAGTATTGCGCGGTGTCCTTCCTGCTCGTCTCCAGCTGGGAATGTGACGTACATTTCTCTCTGAGCCTCTCCGTAGAAATGAGCTCTTGATATATCGTACAATGCCAACCTCAGATCTTTTCCTTTCTTGTTCTTCTTCCTTGTTGCCAGTTCTGAGCATAGGATCTTGACCGCTTCTAACGGAGGCATGTTGCTGAACAGCATATGTCCAGGCAATGCTCCATGTTGTCTCTTCACTTCACGGACAGCGATTCTTGATCTGTAGTTTGGGTGTTCTCTGTCACCCTTGTTTCTGTCTATCCATTTCAGTGTTTTTGGTCCCTGTCCAGTTCTTTGCCAACATTCTTCGATTGTTCTCTTTTCGTACACCTTTGCACGGTGTAAGCATTGCAGTTCTTCTTGTCTTGCTGCTAAGACTCCTTATGTGTCCAACTGTACTCCAGTGATGTCGCCGAATAACATCTGATCTTCATGGTCTTCCTTCTCGTGGATATTCTTCCCCGGTACAAAGTCCTTTTCGTATTCTTCCAGGTTCATGTCTTCATCTGGACTGGGTCCAGCATTCACTGAATGTACTTCTCGGTATTCTCCATCTGCTTTCGTTTGTCTCTTGAGTGCTCTAAGTACTGCTTGAACTAGAGCTGGAGGGTATATTTGCGCCATCTTTGCTCATCCGTTTACTAGGTGACCAGGTGGATGTGGCGATGCCACTCATGCTTTCCGCCAGGTAGGTCATTTGTACACACTCCACGTAATGTCTCTGCCAACTCTGGCGGGTTGGTCATCCAACACGTGGGTTTCCGGATGTATCCTTCCCCGGAAGCATCTCTTCCTACCATCTTCCACCCACACATTGGTCCTTCTACGATCTCTACATTCGGCATCTCACTGATTTCTTGGATGCACTCTTCTTTCCACGACTTTGCTGACTTCGGATGTTCATGCAGGAACTTCCCTTTCTTGATCCTTTGCTTGTAGATCGAACATGATGTTTCCAACATCTCTTTTCCTTCTTTCAATCTTGCTTGGAATTTCTCTGGGTCCATTCTTCCTTGGTTCAATCCCTGTAAAATCGAACATGGATCACAAGGTGGGCTTCCTGTGGTCAGGTACGGATCCTCTTCATCCAGGCTCTTTTCAAGACATCTCACCTGTGTTTTGTCCGTCAAGTCCCAACCTGTCTCCAAGTCAAATGCGTATCCAATAAGTAATTCGAATGCTTTGCCCTTCTCTGTGAATCTTGGTGGTGAAAATATTTCTGTCACGTCATGCGCTCCCAATGCATTCAGTTCTGTCTTTGTAGATTCATCAACTTGCGACTCCACTCCAATGTGAAACAATGACGGGATATCTTGTTCTGAATCTTGTCTCCGAATCTCTGGCTGCGGTACAACTGGTGACCAAAACTGGTCGTGACTGAGTGTCCAACCTGGCGCTGCTGATCCCGACGCGGCTCCCTCTGCTGAAGCAGCAGGGGGCTCCGATTGGATCTCTGCTGAACCTCCGGTTGAAACAACCAAGGGCTCTGCACTTCCTTCGGCTTCATGGAACAAATCGTCCACTGATTCACCTACCCTCTTTTCACCTTTGTTGGGTTTCGCTCTTGCTTTCTTTCCAGGTTCTCCTCTTTCCACTCCTTCTTGGTTTCTTTTGGGGCTAGTGACCGTTTCTTCCTCGGGTTGTCACAAGGCTACCGACGATCTCACCTCTTGTTCCGTCGGATCTGGCAATACTGCTACTTCGGCTTTCGCCTTCTTCGTCGTTCCTTCTTCCTGTCTCTTCTCAACATCGGCCAATCTCTTTTGACCTTCTTCCGTACCTTTCAATCTTTCCATCATCATCAGCCTGTTTCTACAGGTCATGTTGTGGGAAACCGATGGTAATCGGACCATCAACGCCTCACACCCTTTGCAGCCAGGTGTGCAGTCATACGTGCCGTCCTCTTTCTCCAGGTCTTTCTTTCTTACATACAACTGCCTTGGTCCTCCATCTCTTACAGTAGGAGTCAGCCTTTGTGTGGCTTCTTGCAAAGCTATGTACAACCTGTGTTCTAGATCTCCGGCTTCCCTTGGACGAAGCATCCAGGGGACGCCTTAA